TTCATGTGGGGATGATATCACTGATGGAAGGAGCAAAATTCCTCCCCTTGGCTTGGCCTGAGTGTTTGTTTAGTGGGAATCAGGAGGAGAGCTTGGAGTGAGCCTTGGGATCTCTCCTTCCCTCCTGGCACAGCTGAGCCCTGGCCCCCTAAGTGGGGAATGTTCCCTGCCTGTGGAACAGCAGCAGGGCAGTGGGACACGCTGTCCCCGCTGTCCCCAGGCTGGGCAGCCCAGAGGGAAGGGGCAGGGAGGGGTTTCCTGCTGCTGGCAGAGCCCAAGCTCCACCGTGGCTCTCCAGGCTTGCAGCAGTGCTGCTGCAGGGGGTGCCACAGGTCACCCTGCAAGCCAGGACCTGGAAGGGACCCACTCCAGCCACCTGGAGAGGCTTTTCAGGCAAATCAGCTGCTTTTCCACAGAGCTGGATGATGTTATCAGCCACACTCCTGCCTGCCACCCTCCAGCTCCCTCAGTGCCTGGCTTGGGCACCTGCACCTCAACCACCCCAAGCCACCACGGAGCCCTGGCTCTTCCCACCAGGCTGGGGTGCTGCAGCTGGAGCAGCTCTAGGAGAATTCCCATCTTTCCAGTGGCAGCAGTGAGAAATGGCCTCATTTCCACCAGGAATTATGCAAAGCCTGTGAATGTAGGGCTCCATCACTCGCAGCAGCGCAGCCCCCACGGCCCCGTTTTGGGGAGGGCTTGTTTGCCACCCTGATTAGTCAGCACTGCTAATTATAGCTGAGCTTTTCCTGCTTCGAGCTCCTCAAGCACTGTTGGAGTAACAGGGAACAAGGGAGGTGCTGGAACAAGGCTGGATCCGCTCTCTGCAGAGAAGGGAAATGAAACGTGGGGGAATGTTCCAGCTCCGAGCCTGGCTCGGGGGGCACAAGGCAGGGAGCTCGAGGATGTGTCAGCTCAGCCACAGGATGCTCCCAGAGGAGTGGGAGCTGGGCTGGGAAAAGCTGATGGGATGCTGGGAGGTGATGGCGTTTCCCCAAAGCAAAGATGTAAATCTGATTTTGGTACTTGTGGAGGTGAAAATGCTGGAGAATTGGAGCTGTGGTTATCCCTCTGTACCAGCAGTGTGCCCTGAAACAGCAGCCCTTGCTCCAGCTTTGGTTCCCAGTGGGCTGGGCCTGGGTCACCACGTCATCAGTGACTGCCACCCCAGTTTTAACTTGCCACCCACTTGTTTTAACCAGAAAAGCACAAATTCTAAGGGAGGATGAGCCCCAGGTGAAGCCCTGCTGTGGGCTGGGAGCACCCAGCACCCCCACAGGGCAGTGCCGCAGGAAAACCTGCCTTGTTCAGCACTGAGCTTTCTCCCAAGGGCCAAAATCTGAGGAAGATGGTGAGGAATGAAGGTGGGAGACATTTTCCATGCTGAACAGCATTCCCAGGTGAGGCTGGCGGCCTCTTGCTCTGTAATTAGTGTCAGGCTCCTGTCTTTGCTTAGCTTTGATCTTTGCTCCTCTCTATTGAGTCTGTAATTTAAATACAGATAAATTCCTTTATCTAATATATGAATATTCCCAGAATGGTCCTGCAGATACTCAGGGAGCTCAGAACATTGAATACAACTTCAAAACTGGACTCTCAAGCCTTGAAAATAGGGTGTGCAGTGGCCCATCCTCTCATGTGCAACAGGGCTGCTCTGGGGACAGCAAGCCCTGGTTTAAAAGGGGTCAGATGATGTTATTTTTGTCACCAGAAAATCTCAGCGTTCTTGGGGTCTTTGCCAATCCACTGCACCCCCTTGCACAGGTGAAACCCCCCAAAAAATCCCATTGGAGGCACGGGGTTGCTCTTCCTTGGGCAGGAGACAAGCAGCTCCCAGCACGGGCTGAAATCCACTGGGATGTGTGTTTGGGAAGGGGAACTTCTGGAGCCCAGAGGGGTAACACTGCCAGGGGCTGGTGTTCCTGTAGGACACAGCAAAAACCTCCTGGCGTTGGGGCAAACCTGTGGTGGGGATGTCGAGGGGAAGGAAGGGGCTGCCTGGAGTGCCGGGTGTTTGAGGGGCAGGAAGGGTGGGACGCTGGATGGAGCAGGAGGCCAAGGCAGCTGCAGCGATCCACGGGTTTGGCATCAGCCGGGACCCTCTGGAGTGTCCCTGCCAGGGGCAGCGCCGGGGGACAAGGGCCAGGCGGGGTCACACACACCGGGACTGTCCTGGGTCTGCCCGGCTCAGCCCTGCTGCCCGCGGGCTGGGCACAGCGGGGACATCCCTGCCCAGCCCCGCAGCGCTCCTGCCTGGGCACAGCGGGGACATCCCTGCTCAGCCCCGCAGCGCTCCTGGCTGGGCTCTGACCCCACAGAGCACCGGGCACACCCTGGCATCCCCTCTGCCGCCAGCGCTCCCGCAGGTGAGCTGCTGAGATCAGCTGCGATTGGATTCCCATTATCCTCTCACCTCCTTTAGAAATGCTTCACAAATACCGTTTTCCCAGCACACGGATAAAAGCCTGGATGGAATCAAGTGATAATCACAGAAGGAGTCAAAAAAAATGCTGTTGATGGTACAGTGTTATCTGAATTTCTGAAATATTGCCACCTTTACGCCTGGTTTAGGTGACAGTTTTACACCACTATACCTACACCAGCCCCAGGGCTGATTTCTGTGTCTTACAAATCACAGGCCCCAGTTTAAGACAAACTTTTTCTTTTGCTTATTTGCAGGTTTTATTTTGTACGATGAAGGAATAGGCTCATATTCACCGGATTTTCTGTGTCATCTGTAGCTTCTGCCTTTAAGTGACATGAAACCCTGGTACTCAGCTGTGCCACACGTTCTGCCAGAAACAGGAGCTCAGTGCCTGCTTGTGCTTCTTGGCCTGAATCCCTCAGGATAAGACACTCAGAACTCTGTGTTGAGCTGCTGCCGGGGGGAGCCGGGCAGGGCTGCTCGGCCGCTCCCCTTCCCCGGCCGTGCGTAATTCCCGGGAGCGGGAGGAATTCATTCATTCAGCTCCTCGCTGCTCTGCTTTCCTCCGCCCCTTGTGCCGGCGGCTCCCGGCGCTCGGTCACGCGGCCCCAGGTAGATGAGGATTCACATCCCCCGGGACGGGGCTTGGCCTGATTAGCGACCCAGATGCTCCAAATTGGGGCGGTTGGGTTCAGCCAGAATCGCTGCTATTCACCCAAATATCTCTGCACATCGGGAGCTGGAAATGCTTCCCAGCGCTGAGCTGGCTGCAGCAGCCTGGAAGAGAGAGGGGGATGAAAGGGGGAAGCTGGAGTGTTATGAAACGAGTAGGAAAAAGGGGAGAAGGTGTAGCTGAAATCCTGTGGATCCAGGAGCTGAGCATCCCTGCTTTGATGATCCTGCTCCCGAGATGAATCACGGAGCCATTTATAGCTGGAAAAATACTCGTGTCTTTGGGATTTGTTCCTTTCCGGGCTGTTCCTTTCCCAAACAGTCGGGGAGGAAGTTCTGGGGATGGGTGGGTGCTGCGGTGAGGGGGACAGACCCCATACTCAGCGTCCTTGGGCAGGTCCCAATTCCCGTGAGCTCCTCCTCATCCCAGCTTTTCGCTGCCTGGAGGGAACCCGTGTGGGGCGAAGGCTCCGGGCCGCGGTGTTTCCCCGTGGAGGGATGCCCCCGGCCCGGGCTGGATCCCCGAGCAGCCTCAGCCGCCGTGTCCCGGAGGCGCCGGGGCCGGTGCCGCTGTCCCGGGCGTTGTCCTTGAGCATCGCGGCCCCGGAGCCGCGCCGGATCGCCGCCCTCCCTTCGCATCCATGCCCGCGTCCCTCGGCACAAGCGGTAAAAATAAACCCAGCGAGGCGGCCGGGCCTGGCCGGTGCCCAAGCTGCATCCGCAGGACGCAGGTGCAGCGGGCCCGACCTTGGGGAGGCGCGGCGGGGCGGCGGGAGGCTGATGAATGAACGGGCGCGGGGCGTGCCCGCGGGTGTGCGGGGATGGGAGCGGGGAGCCAGCCTTGTTGTTATTCTGATCACAGCGCCTCTGATTCACAGACTTGGATCATGAATATAAGTGAAGACTTTGACGTCAGAGTTGAGATTTATCAGCAGATCCAATGGGGCAGGAATATTAAGTGCAAGTCGATGCCAGCTCTCTGCCAACGCTATTAGCGATGCTCGCCGAGGAATGAGGCTTCGCACCAAGGGCTGGAAGGACCGGCGAGGAAAAAAATAAAAACGGGGTGGGGGGAGCGAGCCGATCCTCGAGCATTAAAACCAGGTAAAACAACAACCCCCGGCGGCGCGGCTGCATGCGGGAAGGGGCGACGGTGGCGGCGGGGGATGGCAGCGGGCACTGCCCCGACCTTCACACCTCGGCTGCCCGCCCCGGGCGGGGGATTCGCTCCTGCGGGCACGGCAGGATGCTGCCGCCGGCCGGGAGCATCTTGCAGCAGCCTTTTCCAAAGGAGGGAAAGGCGGGGAGGAAGGAGAAACTTAACGTAGGCTGTTCCTTGCCGCTGCCTTCTCCTTCCATCAGCGGCTCCGCATACAGGCGCTGGCCTATTAATAGTGTTTATTTTTACTCACCGCACGCAAAAAAGAAAGGGCTGCGGGAGGGGGGGCTGAGGGGTTGCGCTATAAATAGGCAGCAAAGGTGGCCGTGCCCCAGGGAGGGGAGGAGGAGGAGGAGGAGGGGGCGGCCGGTTCCTCACCGGGTGCGCAGTGGCTGCGGACCCTGCATGGAGCCGGGCGCACGGAGGCGGCTGCGGGCAGCGGGGCGATGAGTGGTGCTCGGCCTCAGCCCGGCGGCAGATAGCGGCCAGGGGTGCGTGTGGGGCGGGGGGACGGCGAACCGGCCATGGGGGACTCGGTGCCCGGGAAGCTGCAGTGGGGCTGGCGGGGATGCGGCGGCGGGGGCGGCGTCCCGGGCCGGGGGGCTCCAGGCTCGGTCGGGGGGCTCCCCCGGCTCCGGGCGGTCCGGGCGGGGGTCGAGGCGCGGCGCTGCCCGGGCTGAGCGCGGGGCTCCCGGGGGCTCGGGCTCCGTCGCTCACCGCCCCCTTCTCCCTCTCTCCCCAGCGATGCTGCACGGCCCCGCCGCCATGGGGGAGCCGTGGCCGCCGCAGCCGCAGCAGCAGCAGCAGCGGCTCCCGGGGCTCGGCAACGCCTCGGAGCCCCCCGCCTGGCCCTCGGCGGCGGCGGCCGGGCCGGGCACGGCGGCGCCGGGCGGCGGGGCCGCGGCCGCGGGCTCCGTGAGCCCCTGGGACATCGCGCTGTGCGCCACGGGCACGGCGGTGGCGGGCGAGAACGCGCTGGTGCTGGCCGTGCTGTTCTACACGCCGAGCCTGCGGGCGCCCATGTTCCTGCTGATCGGCAGCCTGGCGCTGGCCGACCTGCTGGCCGGGCTGGGGCTGGTGGCCAACTTCGCCGTGCGCTACCTGCTGCGGCCGCCCAGCGAGGCGGCGGAGCTGGCGGCGGCGGGGCTGCTGCTCGCCGCCTTCTCCGCCTCCGTCTGCAGCCTCCTGGCCATCACCGTGGACCGCTACCTGTCGCTGTACAACGCGCTCACCTACCACAGCGAGCGCACGCTGGGCTTCACCTGCGCCATGGTGCTGCTGATGTGGCTGCTGTGCCTGGGCGTGGGGCTGCTGCCCCTCCTGGGCTGGAACTGCCTGCGGGACCAGAGCTCCTGCAGCATCCTGCGGCCCGTCACCAAGGACAACGCGGCCGTGCTGGCCGTCACCTTCCTGCTGCTCTTCGCCCTCATGATGCAGCTCTACCTGCAGATCTGCAAGATCGCCTTCCGGCACGCCCAGCAGATCGCCGTGCAGCACCAGTTCATCGCCACGGCGCAGGCCACCTCCACCCGCAAAGGGCTCTCCACGCTCTCGCTCATCCTCGGCACCTTCGCGCTCTGCTGGATCCCCTTCGCCATCTACTCGCTGGTGGCCGATTCCAGCTACCCCGCGGTGTACACCTACTCGCTGGCGCTGCCCGCCACCTGCAACTCGCTCATCAACCCCATCATCTACGCCTTCCGAAACCCGGACATCCAGAAGTCGCTCTGGCTCGCCTGCTGCGGGTGCATCCCCTCCACGTTCTCCTCCAGACCAAGGACATCCAGCGACGTGTGAGGATTGAGCACGGAGCCAGAGGAGCTGCCTGGCTCTCCTGCTCCTTCTCTTTTTCCCCTCTGTCGTTATTGTCTCCTACCGGGAGGAGTCCCCTCCCCGGTCAGCACATCTCGTTCCATGGAAAGATGGCCAAAAAAAGAGAAAAGAAAAAAAAAGAAAAAAAGGCAAAAGAGAAAAGGAAAGAGAGAGAGAGTAGAATGATAATGGTTTCCTTTAGAAATGTTATTTTCTTACACATTTTATTTTTTATTTAAAAACACAAAACACCAAAAAAAAAAAAAAAAAAAAAAGGAAGGAAAAAAAAAGAGAAAAAGCAAAGAAAAAGGATCCTCGCACCATGGCGTTTGTCTGCTCTCGGGGTAAGGAGCCAGGGGACCAGCGGGCCCCATCCGGGCGGTGCCACCCCTCGGGGCTCATCCATGGGCGCATCCCACGGGAGCAGGGGATGGGCAGGGAGGTGTCGCGTCCCCCCCGGCGGGGCTGGTCCCCAGGCGTGGGGTGGCTGCGCCCGTCCCCCCGCAATCAGGGCCTGCTGCGATGCTATGCAATAAAGGGGGCAGGAGGGGCAGGGGCTGCCCGTGCCTCTGTGCTTGGAGAAGCTCTTTGAGGAGCTGCGGGTGAGGGACACTCGAGGTGTGGCTTGTGGGGCTGTCGCAGGGCTGGGGGCACCCCCGGCATCCGTTCCCTCCTTCCCCCCCTCCCGAGGATGTGGCTGGGGCAGGGCTGGCGCTGCGGGGCCGGCGGGGGCAGAGGGGAGGCCCAGGAAGGGCTCTCCCGGTCCAGCCGGGCACTGGGGCGCTGCTTTCCCCCCTTCCACACCAGCTGTTTACATGGGGTGGGGGTTTCATCCAAAGAGGGCTCCGGGCTCGCTGGGGTCCCCGAGAGAGGAGCCTCTGTCACCACACGTGTCACTGCTGATGCTGCCGCCTCAGCCCCGACATTCCCGAGCGGTTGCTGTGCTTTGTGGTGTTAGTGAGGCCGTGATGATGATGATGATGATGATGAAGTGTCCTTTATGCTGGGCTTTCTTTTGGTCGGGAGGTGGAATCGTGCATTCACTGATGGAGAAAGGGAGAACCCAGGCAAGCTCCGGGGAGGGGCAGGGCTGGGGTGGCACATCCAGGGTGGCTCGGGGCACAGGGGGTGTCCTGGCATGGGGGGCTTGGGAGACCCTCCAGCAGCTGGGTCTGGCACCCAAATATTCTGCTTTGCTGTAGAGAAACTGTTGTGATGTGGGAGAGGGACTTTGGGAAGGGTGTGCAGTGACAGGACCCAGGGAATGGGTCCCATTGCCAGGGGGTAGGGATGGATGGGATATTGGGAATTAGGAATTGTTCCCTGGCAGGGTGGGCAGCCCTGGCACAGGTGCCCAGAGCAGCTGGGGCTGCCCCTGGATCCCTGGCAGTGCCCAAGGCCAGGCTGGACACTGGGGCTGGAGCAGCCTGGGACAGTGGGAGGTGTCCCTGCCATGGCAGGGGTGGCACTGGGTGGGCTTTGAGGTCCCTCCCAACCTGTAACATTCTGTGAGTCTGTGATAGTGGAAGAAATGTTCTTGCTTTGTGTGGCTGCAGAGGGTACAAAGTCACTTTATGGCTGGGTACAGACAGATCCAGGTGGGTTTTGTCCCTGGATCTGTGCAATGAATCTCTTGCTCCTCAGAGCTCAGTGCACAAGAGAAAGCTCTGAGGTTCCCAAGTGTGCCTGGGGCTTGGAATTATTGTCTGCCTGTGAGACGTGGCCAGTCTTGGAGTTTTTATGTTTTGTGGGTTTGGGGTTTTTTTCCATTTCCTTTCTCTGATGAATTCCTTGGAGAATGGGCAGTTGGCACAATGTGGAATCAATGTGAGTTTTAAAGTAAATATGTATGTGAGACTAATATTTATACAAACACTTTACTCATTCTGTTTCTTCTGGTTTCTTAAGTGCAGCCAGGTCCCTGCAGTTCCTCAGTGTGAAAACCCAACAGCTTAAACCCTTTTTGAAACATTGTGAACATTTGAAATGTTTTTCTACAACCACCCTAGCTAGAAGCCAGAATTTGTTTCTCTGGGCAGCTCATTTTGTATCTTTAGATGAAAGGTAGTTTAACTAATCAGCTCCAGAGAAACCTTGACACAAAAAAGTTGCATTTTCTTGGCTTTCCAGTAAATTCCCTGTTGCTGAAGAGCTTGATTTTAACAATGTTCTTTTTAGAGTTCAGTCGCTTATGTAAAATGTGTCTCAGTTCGAGGGATGCCCTGATGAATTTTGCCAAAGTCAAATGAGGATCAAAGAAAAATTTCTCCCTGTGGCCCTCCACAGCAAGAGGAGAAAGGTTTGGGATGAGAGGAGCTGAAGCTGGGACACAGCCCCTGCCAGGGTGAGGTTAAGGGCAGGCGGGGGTGTCCTCACTGGGACACTGGGGGCTCACCCAAACTCATTCCCAGCCCCTTTGGCAAAGGCAAACTCTGAGTTCTGGTCCCTGAGTGCCCTGGCCCAGCTCACAGTCAGCACCAGGATGTGGTACAAGCCCATTCCATGCTCAGAATTACTGTAAAAGAAAGATCTCATTTCTTTTTGTGTGATGGTCTAGCACCTCTCTCTTTGAGATGCTAAAGCTGCCCATGGAAGCTGTTAAAAACTCTTGTTAGGTTTCAGGAAAAGTCTTAAGAAATCTCCTCTAAAAAAACTCCCATTTTGATAAATTGGCATTTTTGCAGTCATTCCCCTAAATAAAAATAGTGCAATTTCCAGTTTGTTTGGGTTTTTTTTTGTTTTGTTTTTGTTTTGGTTTTTTGTTTGGTTTTTTTTTTCCTTTTCTTTTTTTTTTCTTTTTTCTGTTTTTCCTTTCCTGTTTAATCAGAGGAAATGAGGGGAAGTGAAGAAGAAGATAAAGAGGTTTAGGTCCACCTGCCATGTGTTGCCTTGTGGAAACCTCTGAGCATTTTACTGCACCTTTGCTGCAGTGCTTTGGTTCTGTTTTTCACAGAGAAAACCTTTTACTGGGAAAGTTTGGAGTTTGGCAATGTTGGACATCAGGGGGATGATGGATTTTGGAGCCTCCTCATGCTGAACAGCAGGAAAGTTGATTTAAAACCTGAAATCATTTGCTGGGGCAGTGTTGCTGTGTGCAGGGTGGGGATGTCCTGGTGTTTGGGGCTGGCTTTGGGAAGTGTTTAGGATGGAATTCAGGGCTTTAGGATGGGGTTCTGCTGCCATAAGGAGGGAGCAGCTCCCATGAATGTAAAGGAATCCCACGTGGATGAGGCACCAAAGGTGAGGGAATCACCAAAAGCAAAATGGGGTTTCCATGGTGGATCCTATGAGGATCCAAAGCTTGGTGAGAAGAGCCCAGCAGCCCCTGTTCCCCTCCTGGGCACCTCCAGAAGGACACAGAGCACCTGGAGTACACCCAGTGCTCCAGGTTTCCTCCTCCACCTGGGATTCTGCATCTCCATTAAACTGAGGGCTCTGAAAGCCTCTGATTCAATGATTGTGCTTTTCAGATGAGACAGGGGCCAGTGGCAGTCCTGCAAAGCACAGGGTCTCTGTGGCCTTGGTGGAAATTTGCAGGGCTGATGTCCACAGGGCCCCCTGGCCCCTCCAGGTGGGAGCTGGAGCTGCCTGGAGAGGGCTGGGGGTGGTTGGCTGGGGGTGTTTGGTTGGTTGGGGGTGTTTGGCTGGGGGTGTTTGGTTGGTTGGGGGTATTTGGTTGGGGGTGTTTGTTTGGCTGGGGGTGTTTGGTTGGGGCTGTTTGGCTGGGGGTGTTTGGTTGGGGGTGTTTGGCTGGGGGTGTTTGGTTGGGGGTGTTTGGCTGGGGGTGTTTGTTTGGCTGGGGGTGTTTGGCTGGAGGTGTTTGTTTGGTTGGGGGTGTTTGGTTGGGGCTGTTTGGCTGGGGGTGTTTGGCTGGGGCTGTTTGGCTGGGGGTGTTTGTTTGGCTGGGGGTGTTTGGCTGGGGGTGTTTGGTTGGGGCTGTTTGATTGGGGCTGTTTGGTTGGGGGTGTTTGGTTGGGGGTGTTCGGCTGGGGGTGTTTGGCTGGGGCTGTTTGTTCCCTGTCCTCCCCCTGGCCAGGACCTTGCCTCTGCATCTTCAAACTCTGAGCTTTGCAGATGGTAAAGGATGAGAGGCCAGAGCCAGGCTGAGCTTTTGTCACTTCTGGACTCTCCAGGAGCTGATTTGGATCTACAGCAGCAGAAATGGGCAGAAAACTGGTCCTGAGTGATTCCAGGTGGCATCCAAGCAGCCCTGAGCTATGGCAGGGACCGACACAGCCAGGGAAATGAATCCATGCTTATTGGCTGATTTATTTACAGGTTTCTGGGTGCCTTTGGCTTTTCCACCAGGAGCTGGTGGCCAGCAGAATGCAGAGGTGCAAAGCTTTTGGTGCTGGTGCTTGGCTGGTTGAGGGGATGAGGAAAGGGTGAGGAGGAAAAAGAAGGAGCAAACATTCCTCAAATACACTGTGACAAGGCCAGGGCCACCTGGGCTGGGATGTAACCACAGCTGCCCTGAGGTTGGTGGAGGTGTGCCAGGCTTGGGGGAAGCTTGTGCATTTACAACAAGCCCTTGTCTTGCACCAGCATGAGAAGTTAAAAAAAAAAGGGAAAAAAAGTACAAAAAACCCTATTAAAATGTACAGACTGTACCAACAAAGCTGCTTAGTTTTATTTTGGGGTTTGTTTCCTTTTTTTCCTTTTCCCTTTTGGTCAGTTTGGGACTTTGAGCAGTGAAAATGTCTCTCTTTAGCCAGCCTCATGTCAGTAACCAGCAGTAAAGATTCCAAGGGTCTCAGTCCTGGTGTGGCAGCCCCAGTCTGTTCACATCAAAGAGTTTTAATTGAACCTGGAATGAGCCCCCAAGAAACCATTACTGTTCTCATGAGGTGATGAAGTATCTCTTTCTTGTAAAAGCATCAAACCTGGGGTGGGAAGACCTTTTAAAAGGCCATTGGTACTCACTTGTATTGGTGTGTCCTGACCAGCATCGAGACCCACATCATTGCTAATGAAGAATTAACAGTTCACTTTAATTGTCAGGAATAATTGTTGGGTGCACATGGTATTTCCCTGTAGCTCCTCTCAGCCCTCCCTCTGGTGAGGTGAGGCAGCTCCACCTGGACCCTCTGTAGCTCCTCTGTTGTCAGTGCAGCTGCCCACTGCAAAATCCCCCTGAGCACCCCCAGTGTCCCTGCAGCCCTGGGACCAGGGCTCCCCATTCCCACTGGAAAACTCTGCCACACAGACAGAAAAGGGGCTTTTCAGCAGAAAACCCAGGTCAGAGGGGTGCTGTGGAGTCCTTTAGTCCCTGGCTTGGAGGGGTGTGAGTGAGCTGTCCCCAGCTCCAGGTGCCTTCAGGAGCTGTGGGCTCCAGGAGGACCCTGCCCTGCTCAGGGCTGCAAGCAGGGCACTGACAGCACATCCTGTCCCTGGCCACTGGAACC